AGGTGCCTGTGAGCCCCAACTAAACCTTCCTCGTACTATATAGTTCTGCCAGACGTATAATCGATGCTAGTAATAAAATTGTAGTCTGTTAAGAGCTCTGTGATAGGTAAATGATAGGGATTCTTATTGGATGAATGAATACCAAAAAACCTGCCTAGAAGATAGGATATCACCTGTTTCAGAATACCGATTAGGTTAAATTTTCTGGCAAAGCATTCTTATAGAATTGATGTCTCGACACGTCATAGTACATATATTACAATGGTATTTACTAATTTTTTTGGAATCCACTGCTAGATTAGAATATTATTCAGCTTTTGGAGGTCAATAGAATCGTGAGCCTTTTTGAAATTGATACACAGCTGATGAACAATAATGTTGTACTCTAATTTTTTCTCTAACATTTACCGTCAAGAAAATATTTGATCAATAATTGAAAGATTCTGTCTTAATCCACATTGATATTCTCAGATAATTTTCTCAAGGTATTCTGTGATTAGTAAGGATTAATGTGAATATTTTATATCATACTAGGAGTGAGATTCCTTGATAGTTGTTACAATCCGTCCTTGAGCCTTTTTTGTGAATCGGAATAAGGTAGATTCTTTCCATTCTTCAAGCAATTTCTCATTATCCCAGAACCTTTTAACCAACAAATGAATCCCCACAGGCCTTAATTATAGGAATATTATCGTTTCCCGCTGCTTTATAAAATTTTAATTTTCCGATAGTTACTTCACCTTCCTCTTTACTCGGTTCTTCTACTAACAGTTCAGCAGTGCCAGCCTTAGAAATTTGGTACCCCCTAGCAATGACCTCATCTCTCCTCCTCTAAAATAAATTAAATTTATTTTTCAAGCTGTTTTATATTATGTAATAATTGAATTTTATTTCATTTAATATTTCTCTAAGGTTACAGTACCTTTATTAAAAGGCTAAAATTCATCATTTTAATACATTTTGAATATATTTTTTAAAATTCTTAACAAGTGGCGAGTGCTCCTGATGAGTGCTGCAGGGCAATTGTCCTGGTTACCCCACTCTGATATCAGCACTGCAGTTCAGCACTCTGGTACCCAGAAGGCAGACACAGATTATTATTTTCTGTATTAAAACATTGTTAAAGTGGTTCTTAAATTTAAAATCTCTACCGGATCTGTCAGGATATTGTTAGGTACAAGTTATTGTACTTAATTAATTTATGTTTTTAATTTATTTTATTTTATTAATTTATTATTAAATTTAATTTATTTAATCAATTAAGTTAAGTATTTTATTTTTTAATCATGAACATTTAGTTGTATTATTTACATTTAGTTATATTATCTGTATGTAATACTTGTACTTGTTCTATGTGATTGATAAATAAGCTGTCTGATGGTTAAAATAAATACAGATAAGACAAAATATATTGTTAGCAGCCAAAACGACTACAATTTCGGTGGTATCGATATAGAAGAGAATATGTTTGAACATTTAGAGAAGTTTAGGTATCTAAGGTCTACTATAATTAGAAAAAACAAAATTGAAGAGGAAATTAATGTTAGGCTGGTGAAAATGCTTCTTATTTTTCTGTGACAAAACTACTTAGCTTGTGCCTCTTATCTCGAAACTTAAAAATTATAATTTACAAAACCATTATCCTATATACGGTTCCTTGATTAATGAGTGGATTGTGGATGAGTGGCCACTTACATTAAGGGATAAGCAACGCTTTAAGGTTTTTGATAATAAAGTATTGCATAGAATGTTCGGACCAAAGAAGGATGAATCAACCAGAGAATTTAGACGGTTAAGCAATACCAAATTGCATGAACTGTATCCAGTCAATATAATTGAGGTAATTACATTGCGGCAAATAAAATGGGCATGTAAAATTGTTAGGCTTAGTAACAACAGAATTTCGTAAAAGGTTAATATGGCCTACTGTTAAACGTCTATGGGGTAGATCGGAGCGAAGGTGGAAAGATCGTGTTAAAGTTGATCCGGCAGGACTGGGTTTGGATGGCAGTCGGTGGATGGATGTGTGTATAAAAAATTGGTGGTGTCGAATCTTCAGGTTCGCTAAGCCATTTATTGTTACAACTAAATATAAGTCAAATATATCTTCTTTCTATTTTATTGTTCTTTATACTTCTTTATTTAAATGCTTTTATATTTTCTCTCTTTTATTCTTAAACCAGCTTTTATTGAAATCACAAACAAAAGTATTTAAAGAATAAAAAGTTCATTTTATTTTAAAACCATCCCTTTTTGTTTTAGCACTTTCATTAATTAATCTGCACCTGCTTATTACAACCATCGACAATAGAAAAAATACAAATATATATATATATATATTGTAATATCTCTCTTATATTTTAGAAATAATAATAATATATAACCTCGGATGATCACTTTATACCGTTGGGATACTTCCAAAAGAAATAAGAGGTTGTTAAATAATAAAAAAAACTATAAGAGCATTACTATATTAAATTGAACTTAATAATTATTTTATCTCAAGGTATGGGTTACTGACAATCAGATCAAAACACTCAGACAAACTATTATTATTTACACTATTTATACTAAAATTAAACACTGATTTTAAAATGAAGTCAAGTATTGATTGGCAAGCTAACCTTTTTTCTATATATATTGTTTCTTCCTTTGTTGCACTAAATTCATTTGTATTCTAACATTTTCCTATGTTCTACCAAACATATCTTCCAAAATGGTGTCACTTTCTTCTACTCAACTCAAGTTCACTGATAGATCCTCTCTCTTGTATTTTCAAACAATTAGCCTCTCTGCCAAACAACAACTTCCAAGATGGTTCCCTCCCCCCTTTTGTTATTTTCCTTTCTCGGTAAACCACAGACCAGCCATTTTCGTTTCCCTGAACTAGCAGAACCAGATTTACTTGCCTTTTAATTGTTCAACATTAATTTATTAAACCCTTTTTACTAACTTCCAATAAAGGTGGACATTACAATATATATATATATATATATATATATATATATATAAGGCTTTATAGGTATGAGGAAAAACAATAGCAAACGGTATTCCTTCCATGGCTTTTACTTACTTACATAATTAGGTAGATAGGTCGCTCATCCAGACCCTTTTCAATCATCTTCTGGAGTTCTCCAGCATAATAGTAGTGGCCATTTCTTTAATTAGCTGGCTGGAGTGTCCATCTAACTTATAATGAAATTGTTTGTAGTAAGTTTTTATGTGTTCATTGATTGTTGGCATCTGTAAGTCAGTGTATAAAGTGTTGCTATTCATGTACCAGGGTGCTTGGGTAATTAGTCGTAGTGTCTTAGACTGAAAAGTTTGAAGTCGTTCTATGTGTGTTGGTTTTGCAATTCCGTATATTTGTAGTCCATAAGTCCAGAGAGGTTTTAATAGATATGTATAAATATTTAATTTCTGTCTTGCTTTTAATTTAAAATGTTGTCTTAATAAAGAGTGCAACAGTTTTAGTCAATGGTTTAATGATGTATATTTTTTCTTTATATGTGGACCCCATGTCATTCTTCTATCAAACGCCAGGCCTAGGTATTATACACTATCTTTTTGTGGAAATGGTATGTTGTCTAAGTATATGAGAGGGCATTCTTCTAGTCTTAGAGTAAATGTGATGTGTTGTGAATTTTGACGTCGAACGGACAAAAATCTGTCTGAGATATGAAGAATTAAGTAATAGGTATGTGGAAGTAGGGTCTTAAGCTTGTATAGAAGCCCCTGATTAATCCCCTGATTAAGCCCCTTGTATAGCTTGATGCCTGATGAAAATTAAATTAGTGAATAATTTGATGATTTTCCCCTTTGTGAAATCCAAACATTATCCACTTAAAATTAGTGTGACAACTTTTGACCTATCTATGGCAGGCAATGAAAATCTTGTAATTTTATTTTAGTAAACTTTACAATGGAAAATAACATCTTAATAACTAATAGGCGTACAATCCATAATCATTATAGCTTGAATACAGAGATATACTTTCAAATTTCTCTAGGCATATATATATATATATATATATATATATATAGCTCAGAGACTGAAGTTATATGGTTTACAAAAACAGATGGATTACCAAGGGTTTTATTGTCTACTGTTGATATAATTAATAGGGTTTTTGTTATTTTTGAGGTCTTAATGATTTGTTTGCTGTAATCTTTAAGCTATAAATCCGTTAAAAGTGCACTTCAAAAATTTTATAATTACTCAATATTGATTGTAAGTGAAAGTTGTGTGATGCGCTCACCAGATTTTTAAAAAATTTTCTCTGATTATCTCGACTGGTGTTCTATGGTGAAGATATTTAAGAACAACACTTAGGCACCTGTCCTGTGGGAGTTGGTAGGTATGAAAGTCTGCGTCTTTATTTCGTAGGCTTGAATTCAATTTTCAATATATTTCAGGTGTTTGTGGGTAAACAGTGACCCCTTTTAATGTTGGTTTTGTCTTGAATGTGTTAGGACCAGCTTCATTTTCTAAGAATGAAATTAAAGCATGATAATTATCAACATCATTTATAAAAATTGGCGGAGTTTTATCATTTTGAGGCAGTTTTCTTACATCTTCTGTTTGCGAGTTAATGTTGGTTAGAACCTCAAAAATGTTAGAGGTTGGAATATGTTCTGTTGGTCGTTTTTGTGCTCTATACTTGCTCAAATCTGACGTAGGTCTTTTACGACCAATAATCAGCTCCCAGGAGCCAACTTCATTCTTTGTATCACTAGTTGTTAAGCCCATGTTGCTAACCTTCTCATGTTGTGACGGTTCCACCATTATTGGTGGTGAATTCGGCTCAATCTTTGTTTTATTTTTTGTCTTCAGCTCTGTTGTCTACAAAAAACACTTTTGCTACACAAAAAATTGAGCATTTATACTAAAGTAGCACTTCTTACGAGAGACAAAATAAATTAACCTTTAACGTTATTTAACATCAACAGCTGTTTAAAATTATCTTAAATTTATAAAAATGAGTGTTTGACTTTTCCAGGGTCAAGTGTTGTCAGCAGCAGTGGGATGCATGTTGATTATAATAGAGATTCAGAACTAGCTTCTTGCTTACCACCTGATCTTCGTTATTTACTTCATTCTTATAAAAGCACAACAGATGTTCCTTATACAAAGCAGGTACATTTTCATTGTATGTATATTTCAATTTGGTAGGTTTTAAATTTATAGAAGCTAAAATATTTTAATGTTTATATTTATTCTATATGTAACTTCATGTTATATCATAAAATTGAATGCTGTAATTGGTTAATAACTGTCTGTCTGTCTGTCTGCATAATGGATTTCAAATTAGTGTAGTAGGATTTTGCTCAAACATTTAGAATAAGGGTTTTTAAGCTTTAGAAATAGGTTGGTGAAATCTTTTTTCCCTGGAAAATTCTTATTTAAAAAAAAAATTCAGAAAGCTATTAAGATAGAACATGAATGAAATATAATGAAATGTATGTTATAAAGCAAACTAATGAGCTACAATAATTTATCCCTGACAAATCTTATTTTCATTATCAGAGACTCAGTCACAAGAAAAATGAAAACTACAGCCCACATAGTATCCCCTCCCCCCGCGAAAGTTCATTTTATTACATGGTGAAGTTGTAAAAACTATTAAAATAATACATAATTGGTAATTGGTTGACTGTCATGGATAATGAAGAGAAGAATAGTTGGGGTGCTCAGTCAAAAGCATTCTCCCCTTGACACTTAAGGAGAAAGCCCTGATGAAGGCCTGAACTTCAGGTCGAAACGTCGGCATATGTAAAAAATAAATATTATAATTTATTTTTTGCCTTCCTTTTTTGACTGAGCACCCCAACTATTCTTCTCTTTATTAAAATAATATGAAAATTAGCAAATTACTCATACTAGTAGTTACTACAACATTTATTGCATGGGTTTTTATATAAATCTCATTTCACAACTGAACTGTCATTTATGGAACAAGGTTTTTTTTTTTTTTTTATCACTAACCGTGGTCTGTGGGACTTAGATGGAGATCTCAATGTGGACCGTGGTCCAAAAAGTTTGGAGACCCTTGATTAGACTTTCAGGCATAAAACACTTTTCATCATAATCATGAACGCTTGTGCTTGGTTTTTGTATTTCTCTGGAGCTGAAAAAACTTACAAAAAAAAAAAATAATAAATTTTGTTTACCTTCACGAACTATTCTATTAGTTTATTTTGATTTAATGTCCTCATATACTCCTACTATGACAGGAAAAATAAATTATCCTACAGGTTACTCACCAATTTCACCCTGAGTGAGAAGATTGAAATTTATTTTATGGGTTTGCTACAAAATAAATTTCAAACCGCCAAAGTTGCTTAGATGGTACCTTAACACACTCAGCCTCTATAGTCTAACCCGATATTGATTTCATTTTAGCTTCACTCTTGTTTAGAGTGTCTGATTTATTGAAGGGAAAGATAACCTGTACCACTACAACCCATGAAGGTAAACATCCAAGGGGTAGACTGAAGCAAGGTTGAAGGATTGCTGGCAAGGTTAGGTTTAGGGCAGTGTAGGGTAGATGGGAGTATGTAATCATCAAACTTTCTCTTCGCTAAGCTGTTATTATTATTATCATCTCTCTTTCTCTCTTTAAAACTGGGGTAATAGGCTATTAGTAGATTCAGAATGGGGTAGAGGAGGTGGCGCCTGGTAAAATCTCGTCACGGGCGCTGAAAACCCTCTTAATGGCTCTGATTTAAACTATAAAAATGAATGAAACTGGAAAAATGTCTAATCCTTAATAGGTCCTTGCAATAGTTTAATTTCATCATGATAAAAAAAAAAAATCTTTTTTTTTTTTTGGCATTAAAGACCATGTAGATCTTTTGCCACTTTAACAAGCCTGCTCAATCTCTGTCTTGGGCTAATTTTTTCCATTTATTTGCACACAGCTCTATTGCATTTTTGTTGATTCTATCGATCCATCTACTTTTTGGCCTTCCACATGGTCTTTTACCTTCTATTGAGGCATTCATTGTTCCATAGAGGCTTCCAGATGGATTGCTATGAGCTACATACATGCCCCACCCATCTTATCTGCCATGTCTTCATATCATAGGATATTGATTGACCTGTTTCTGTAAGCAGAAAATCAGTATTATCATAATTATTTTTTACTAACACATAATGTAAATAGTGGAAATAAAAGATATTTGAAATTTTCTTGATCTTTTCGTGAATTAATTAATCATACTTTGAAAATTTAATTTAATAATATACAGCTTACTATATTACATTGATACATTGTATAATATCATAAGTTGATTTTGAATAATATGTACAGCAATTTATACAAGCGTATAAGGAACACTTGGGAAGTGATGTGAAAATGTCAATGGCTGATAGGCGAACTTTAAATAGAATGTCAAATATTGACTGGGAAACTGAGAGGTTATTAAGTCGTAACAAAGACCTCTTAAGAAATCCCAAAAGCAGGTTAGTTCATTCACTACTTATTGGTTATTTTTTATAATTTAGAAAAACTTAAACTAAATCCTGTGAAAATTCCTAACAGGCTAGACATTCAACGTAAAATTGCATATTCAGGAATTGGAAGGACTAGAAAACTTCGTACCCATAGAAGGCAATTATCAGATCCTAAGATACATTTAGAAATGAGTCCTCTTAAAGATTGCAGTGAGGGGCATTACAATAGGGTATGGCATTTTTTCCCTAGCATGTTTGTTAATTATTATTTATTGAGATATCATTATCAGCATGATACAAGTATGAATGATATAAAGGGAAGCATGAAAATGACATCCTATTTATACCTTTTAGTTTTTTTAATTACAATTTTTCCTTGGCACTATGACCTCCAAGGGCCAGAGCCTTCTCACTGAGTTTTCACCAATAGTTATGACAGCCAGATTTGAAGGAATAGCAAGCTTTCTAAACATAAATCACCTGCTATCTGTATGTAAATTGTCTTGAGGGCAATGTGATAAAGAAGTTAGTTATGGAATATATATTCAATTAATAGAAACTATATATGCCTAAGCATTCATGTATATTTTCCATTCAATGAATGAATAAAAATGACAAATTATCTATCTATCTATCTATATATATATATATATATATATATATATATATATATATATATATATATATAAATTAATATCTGTCTGTCTGTTTGTCCTTTATACATTACTAAGCCATTGATCCGATCGCCATGAAAGTTTGGGAAGTTGTTGCATACACTCCCGCGAAGGTTTCTGGCACAATACTTCTGTCCTACAATAGTTTTATATGTGTAAAAAAAAAAATGTAAATGTTCATTTGTTAACCGCTAATCACCAAAAGTTTTTACCGATTGCTTTGAAATTTTGACACAATGTTGCAGTCGAATTCAGAAGTATTTTTATGTACATTTCATTACCATCCGGCCTTTCATTTCAAAATGGCAGCCGAAAAACTTATGTCCCATAGACTGTTGTGCCAAAACGGCTGTATTGATTTTAATGAAACTTGGCTAAAGTATTTCTGTTGAAACCCTTTTAGTTTATGTATGTAACATAATTTCCCGTAAACAAACTACACAAAAAAGTGCACAATTTTTGCTTGATTATACCCATAATTATTTAAAAACTACCTGAATTCCTTAAAAAAAAAAAAAAATCATCAAAATCGGATGGTTCAGTGCAGAGATATAGAGTTTTAAAAATTTATTATTTTTTTTTCGGCAAAGGCTATTTTCTTTTTCTTTTTTTTTCAGTTGTTTTTTCAGAAAATTTTATAATTACTGAAGTAATTTAGGTTCTCATTTGAAGAATTTATAGGATTTTTCCTATGTAGGTCAATATTATTTTACGTTTTTTAAATTCATATTTATATTTTTCCCCCTATGTGTTCGGAAAGTAGTATTATACATTTCAAATATTTGATATGCTATTATTTAAAAATAGTTTACCCTCGAGTAATAATTATCATCGTTTATGTTCTAGATCCTTTTTAGACATCAGTTTTTCATTTATTTCAATTTCTTTAACATTACAGTGGAACAAGGCTCTGTGCCATTTACTGTAGAGTTTCTTTCATGAGTAAGGTTTTAAGGTTTTTTTTCTTCCACAATTTTTATAACTCTATATTTAATCAAGTTATTATTAAGAAGAAGCAGGCAATCAAATATCTTAGGAATCTTAGGATGTGAAATCTTTTGAGGAAGGTGGAAGGCAGCTCTAATGCACACAAAATGTGGCAAATGGTACTGCTCAATTTCAATGCAATGGCTATCATGTTAGATATTTGAAAATCTTTAACATTGAAATGGTATCGTAAAATATTTTGAACAGCACTTGTGGCTTTTACATCCAACAAATGGCACTGTTTTAATAAATATATATTGTTTTACCTTATATTATTAAATTAGTAGGTATATAAAACCACTAGGTATATCATAATAGTAGGTATTTAAAGGTTAAACCAAAATTTCAAGACAATCTGTGAAGAACTTTTACATTTTTAATTGCCATAAATAATCAACACAAAGTTGAACATTAAACAATATATTAAATTTACAAATAATTGATTATAAAATTAAACATCATATATTTTAAATTAAACAATTAAAAATATATGAGTGGCTTCATATCACAGACCTCAGTCATTTTCAGAAAGTGGAAATAAAGTCAATTTTAGTCTTTTAAGTTCAACTCAGACTGTTTCTGAGATTAAGAATGTTCAAGTTGAATCATGAAAAAAAAATCATTAGAATTAGTTTAAATTGAAGCTATGTTACAAACAATTTTTTTTCTCAACTTTTTAAAAATGGCAGATGTCCTTTGGTATTAATCCACTCATATGTAGTTTCTATTTTCTTTCTTTTCCATTTTGCTTGACTGAGCCACAGCAGCTCATGACCAGGTAAAACTAGTTTATAAATATATATGTAAAAATAAAATAAATGTAGTTAGTTAATAATGGTAAACAGATATTTTCCCCCTTTCAAGAATAACTCTCTTGAAATTGTCTACAAATTAAGTCTGTATACCTCAAATGTAAAGTTTAGTTCATTTTGTTGTTATGCACGCTTGCTTCACTTGCGTGGCCTCTAGGTTACCCTCGAGTAATTATCACAATTCAGGGATACTATGAGAGGAATAACTGTTTTATCAATTAGCTTCTTCTTGGTGTTGATCAAATCTCTAAAATGGAGTGTGTTGATTACCAAAGAAGCACCAGTTTTTTTTCAGTTATCCTGGCATATCATTTCTTTTGTTACATTTTTCTTTTAAATAAATAATTACCAGGAGGAGTCTATAGATAGCTACGGTAGAGTGTAGATCGTCTCGGTGTTTTTATTTAATCTGATTATTGGATCAATATATTTGGTATAGTGGTGTACATTAGTGTGTTAAAGCTGTCTTTGATTAAAATTAAATTATTCTGGTGCTTCTGGCTTGAAGCAGGAATAGGTAGTATTGAGATAGGCAGGCTATGTCACGGGAAAGTTGTCTATCTACAGCCAACTCATTGTTGTCTTTATATTTCCCTGATTGTAATTCACCAATACTGAATTTAAAAAATGAATTGTAATATAAATAATATTATTATGAATCCAATAAATGAAGAAACTGTGACACTGCAGACAATAATAATGGAAATACGCAGCAACAATGATGAAACTAAAAGTATTAAAACAGCAGTTGAAAAAATTAACATCTTACTGGAAAATATTACATCGGAACATAAATATATAAAAAACAAAATTGATGAACTCGAAAAGATTAACTCCCAATTGGAAGAAATGATAAAAAATATAGAGAAAAGAGGCAGGAAAAATAATATAATATTATTTAATGTACCTGACAAAGAAGATATAGAAAATGTAGTTAATGAAGTGAAAACAATATTATCTGTTATGGATATAAGTCTGTCTGATGGTTTGATAAACAACTGCTACAGATTGGGAAAAAATAAATACAACAAATCCAGGCCTATCATAATTTCTTTAAACAGTTATTAAATGAAACAAAAAATAATGAAAAAGAGACTTATTCAGGAAAAAAAATTTCTGCAGGGCATAACAAATCACCCGGGGAAAGAGAGAAGGGAAAACAAATATATTTATATCTCAACAGATTGTGAAGCTTCAACAGTACTGTGACTTATAAAAACAAGTTATTCACAATGAAAGGAAACACTTTTCAAATCTCTGAGATTGGAGGTCTGCTGGAAACTCTTAAAGACTGTAAACTATCATCAATATCATCACCAGTTCAGGTAATCAAAAGAAAAATCTGAGCGAAAAACTTGATCAATTTCAATTTTGTGAAAGAAAATATTAAGATCAAAACTGGAGCGCAGAAAAATGAATCATCAAGACGGATGGAAGAGGTATCATATTTTAATATTTTATTTTGGAACATTAATGGCTATAAGAATTTTATACACCATGATTAATACATGGACCAGTACGATATAATATGTCTCGATGAAATCTATGTAACTACTGAAATAAGAGCTGAGCCTAGTTTAATCCTAGATTAGATATTAATGTATTTTTGGAAAAAATAGAAATAATCATAGATGAAATCAGAGAAGAACATAGAAATATTCTGATATATTTGAGAGGGGATTTTAATTCTAGAATTAATAATTTAAATATATGCTCTCCAGAAATCGTTCATGACAATTGCTTCCTAACAATTCGAAAAAATTCAAATAACATCTTAAATTTAAGAAGGAAAATATTAATTGAGTTTATGGAACTTAATTCCTTTATAGTGTTAAATGGCCAAATTCCCAGTTATATAACTGGTAATTACACTTATTGTACGACTAATGGATCGAGTGTCGTGTATTTTGTCTAGTGTGAAATCGGTGGCTTAGAATTGATATGTGATATTGGAGTTAAACAAATAATATCCAGTTCTGATCATTTCCCTTTAGAATTAAAAGTTTACTCTGGGTCAGTCGTGAGTAAACAAAATAATATCTATAAAAGACACATCATCAAATGGGATAAAAACACCTCTGAAATATTTAAAAATAGCTGAATGATTTCTCCATTAATTACAGTGAACTTTAAAACCGGTACTGCTGTACTCGTACTGCCGGTACTGCTGTACGCTGAGGCTCGATCTAGAAAGAATTTGGAAATTAAGACAGCAGAAGTCACCAACATTGTCTTGCAATGATGCCAGGAAAAGAAACTTTTCCTAATTTGTGAGAAAGAGGAAGGCAAAGTTGGGAGATTTAATAATAAAACCATCTCAGGAGGTAAAGTTCTTGGGAGTTCTTATGGAAGAGAGATGTAACTTCACAAATCACTTAAGGGAAATTAAGAGCAAAACTGTATTTTGTTACTGTTTTTTAACTGTCAGTTCCTCCATAGATGACGAAGTCTCAGAAGAAAATGATATTGAATATGCAATTTGGCCTAAATTTATAAAAATTGAAAATTTATTTAATTTTTTTGTCCTATCCTATTTACCATTGGTTTATTTGGAAAATAGGTGGGTTCTACTAAACTGTATCAGCAAACTATAAATCCATTTTACACTTCATCAAAATATAAATAAACTGTATTTTGTTCTATTCAGGGATATTATGGAGTTGTTCATCCATCACTTCGACCACCATATAAATCATTTGAATACGAATCCATTGATGATGGGAAACTTTCAGATTGGGATACATCTCATCCATATCTTGCTTCTTATGCCATAGCAGGTGGTGCACTTCGAGAAACAGCTATAAATAGTGTTTTAGAAAAAGATCATATCAACAGTGATCAAATGAGGTAAGATTTAAAAAAAAATAAACAAAATTTTATGATGTAAATGTGCAGAAGTTCAAAAGTGTGCATTTAAATTAAAATCTCTTTTACTTGTTTTGTTATTATTTTTAATTTCTCCTCTGTGATTTGGTTTTATACTACTACTGAGTCTTATTTTCATTCTAATTAGTATATTGCAGATGCTTTATAATAAATACTTTTATTATGATAAATTAAATACTGCAGAGAAGAAACAAAAACATTGTAGGATTCCATTTAGGTAGCTTTTAAATTGTAGATAAAACTAGTGTATCAGTAACACTATTAATCCCTTTTGTAGATTGATTCCCGACATGATGAAAAATAACAAATATTTTATTTTATTTTAGAAAGAAAAGTACGACTAAAATCCATACCCATTAAAAATAATGTACCCTTTATGTACCATACAAGTACATATATATATATATATATATATATATATATATATATATATATATATATATATATATATATATATGGTAGGAGAGCGAGGTGCACTTGCCCAGCGCAGCAAAATTTAAACAAAATTTGATTTTTAGGTGTAACAAAAATTATTTTTGTTTTTTATGTCCTTAATCATGTTAAAATGAGTTAATGTTATGATATGATGGTATTTATTTCATGAATTATTAGTGAAATGGAGTTGACTTTTATTGGGGAGTGGAGAGGATGAAAGAAAAGGCAGCAAGTTCGAGCTCAGAATCAGAAAAATATCCTAGTTCCGGTCCTGTATAGAGTAAAGACCAACCAAAGTTTTTATTCAGAGGCTGATTAGGAATTAAAAAATCTATATAACTAACAATTCTTTGTTATATATACAGGAAATGTTTTCATAGGTAAAAATATTATATATTAACATATTTAAGTCCAAATTTTTAATTGGATGCAGTCCTTTATTCTTGGGTCAACTTTGATGTCAATTGGGTGATTGTTTTTTTTCCTAATACTTGCAACAATCTAGTTTTAAGATCTTTAATGACTTAGGTTTTTATTCCGCAGCTATGTATTCTACGGGATTTAAATTTTGACTCTTGAATAATCACATTTTTCGTGGCAAAGTTGAACAGCATTGGTGGGAATTCATCTCAAAACTTCAGCCTTCCAAATATTCGGATTGTTCTCCTTAGAACCCGTCATTTAGAATAAAATGTTAATTCTGAAGAAATTTTACAAATGCGGGCAAAAGACAACTTCAATCCAACTATGACTAAGGTGTTAGTGTTCCATAAACCTCCAGAAGCTTGTGGTATAAAAGGAATTATATATATTTGAGGGTGGTATAGCAAAAGTAAGGTACTACAAGTAGGAAGGCAAAATGAAGAGACGCATGTACACTGCAATGGAGAGCAATTAGAAGTGGTCTCAGACTTTACATACCTAGGATTTCTCGTAGAAAGATCATGTACACTGCAATGGAGAGCAATTAGAAGTGTCCTCAGACTTTACCTACCTAGGAACTGTCATAGGAAGATCGGGAAAAGTGGGCTTATAAATATCCAATAGAATAACCAAAACAAATGCAGTCTTACTACTAGATTCCTAACACTGTTGTAGGAAGGCGAGAGGCAGACAAGAGTGTCACGCTCCATATATATAAATCTGTATTCCTGCCAATACTTCTATATGGAACTGAAAGCTGGATATTGACAGATAGGCAAGAGAGCTGAGTCACTGCTGCTGAAATGAAATATCTGCAAAGAACAGTCGGTAAGACTAGGAGGCACCAAATTTGTAATGAAAGTATACGCCAGGAGCTGGGGGTCGCCTCTTTGAAGGAAGTTCTGCAAATCCACCAATTGAAATGGTTTGACCATGTGATTAGGATGGAGGAACATTAGGGACCCATTAAAGACAATGGGATGGACTACGCTCCAGATGGCAAAAGACCTCGAGGACGCCCAAGAATGTCATATCTGGAGTGCATCAATACTCTGCAAAGGAAGAGGCAAAGATCTCCGTGGAGCCAGGAACATAGCAAAGAACAGAGATGAGTGGAGTTCGTGGCTGCTCACCCCCTTACGCTGAGAGGTATAAAAAGGAGAAGCTAAAGAAGAAGAAGTGATAATTTTCATATTCTTTTTTTCTTTTTATATTTTGTATTACTAATTTAATTATTTAGTAAAACTAATATTGCAAATCAATGTAATATATTATGTATTGTAAAAATGCAATAAATACTAAGTCGGTTTAGTTTTTTCACACTGTTTATATTTTATATATCTACTGCACTAATGTCTTCCCTTGATTCAACAATAAATACCTTTAAGAAATTATTCCTATGTTCAATTGATTTGCTACAGAGAATCAAAAAATGAGGCATTGGGTCAATTACAAAGTTACATTCTTCACACACTTCGTTAGATTTAATAATGAAGACAGCATCTTTTATGAATATCTTTACAAAGTCGTCTGCAACTCTGAGATGACTGACGGCTCTTAGTTTGTTTAAATTTGAGGTCTTGAACTGCAAGTATTTTTCTGATCCGATGGTATTAAAGGAGCAGATTTTTCTATATCTGCAGCTTGATCCAGCATTTAGTACTTTATCAATGTCCTTGGATACCTAATGGTTTCTCATTTTTAAAAAATTTCTTCTTAAACTTGACCAAACCTTGGGAAAAAAACACATAAGAACCAGCTCTTGTCATCCAAGTTCTGCCACAATCATCTTTACTTTAGTTTTTCTGTTATTTTATAAGTTCCTTTTCAAATTTTGTCATCAGTCTCTGTTTTTTTCTGGTTAAGTCCCAAGTCCCTTAGTCAAATCCTCACTTCAATATAACAATTTGTATCAATCCTTTTTGAATGTTGTCTAGACGGAAAAATAAAGTATTGAAAATTGTAGATCTATCCGTCGTTTTGGCACACGACGTCATGTAGTACGTTAAAGTGTATTAAGTAATAAACAAATTCATAAGAAAAAGTATAAATTAGAACAAGAATTTTTTAGAAATAAAAGTGCTGTTATTTTGGAGTCCTGATTATATAAATTCATTAAGATTGTTTGTAATCTTAGAACATAGTCAAGTAGAGAAACAAAGAAAAAGTTATAATCTTTAAACAACTTAAAATATTGGGATGGAGTTTTACTGGAACCGATCACATTTACAAAGACCTGTTTCATCAGTCATTAAAACATATAATCATTAGATTTCAGTTAGATAGTTATCAGTTAATGTTTATTTTCTCTTTTTGTTTTTTTGTTTACTTGATTTATGATAATAGATATAAACCTTAAAAAGGGTAATTTTTCTATATAAAGAATAACATTTCTATAGAAAAAGTGCTTAAGTTCAATTTGATAAATCTCACTGCACCATACAATTTATTTGTACCAGATAATCTGTCTAATCATTGCTTTAAATATTAGCTATTTTATTCCCCCTATTTTATTGTATGAATATTTTGTCTTATCCACATTAGCTCACGGACTACCTAATTTGTGTTATACCAATTAAAGTTATAGTTGCGATCAAGTCTCATATATTTTTAATTTTCTAATAATTGGATGATTTTTGGTAACTGGAAAACATTTTTTTTTTGGGAGGTTTTAATGATGTCAGAGTATTTTTTAAATACTATAATAATATAAATATTTTAGTCACACTGTTGTTTGAATGAATCATGGATGCAATACATTGATTTTAAAACCTTTCAATTTAATAGATCTATACTTCAGTCATTTGTTTTAGGTATGATATGAGGAGATACAGTGATAGCTTGGACATTAGGCATCGTGATGTAGGTAAACATCATAAGCCTCGTTCTTGGCAGCCATCTCCTTATGGAAGTGATGAGGAAGATGATACTTTAAGTAGAGAACAGAAAAAGGCTAAAATTAAAGCTGAGATTGCTCGACGACGTCAGCAAATTGAAGAGAATGCAAGGCTACATGAGGAACTTCTACGATTAGCACGTTTGAGAGAAAGTGCTGAGTTAGGTACTCTATATAAACAACTATTTTATTTTATTTCATGATCATTTTATTTTAAACATGAATTATGAATTCAGGGGGAGTGAGGTATTATATTATATAGAGCTTTTATTTTCTATGCTGAAGGACCCTGATTTAAACCAAATAAAAACTTGGTAAGGTTTCTTAGGGTGAAGGCCATTGTTTGACAGACATTTGGGTCCAATAAGCACTAAAATAAGTATATGGCATGAGTGTATTCATAGAATATACTAAGCACCTAGAATAATTTGCTATTTTAACCGTCTGCAAAGAATACTATAATATTAAATCCAGAAGCAGGTACCTTTAATGCCATGTGCCTATTTTTTTTCACTCCCTTTTGTCATAGATGCACCGCGGCCACAAGTGTCTGTAATGTGCCATATTCAAGCCGTTTTATATTAAAATGTTAGTTTCGTCGCATCTGCATATTTAAGTAGGCTCATAGGGTTAATCGACTCATAGTTCTTGGGGTCACTCACTTGGTCCTCACCAAACAGCTCAAGTCTGACTCTTACAAACCTATCACACTGATGCACAATGTGGAAGGCTGTTTCATTCTCACTGTGACAGAATTTACATAGAGGATCCCTAGTCAGTCTGATATTGAACATATGATAATTTAACTTACAGTGACCAGAATAAATCGCTGTCAGTTTTTTAAGCGCTACTCCAAACCAAGTAGCACTTTACTAATTTTATTGCAGGCCCCTTCAAGAAACAACTTTGAATGTAGCTGTTTCTTGCCAGTCCAATACTGCTTGAACTTAGCCTCATAAAGTTCCTTTATCCTTCTTTTGGCAGTGCTTAGACTTATTCCACAAATGGGTTCAGTAGTTATTTATGGGTTTGTAGTATCTGAACCTAACCTGGCTACTCTATTCATTCATTGCTGGGCTCTACAGTCCTTGAAGAACCATGGCCTCTGTTAACGTCTCCTTCCACATATCCCAATCAGCAGCGAAGACCCTTTACATCCATCTTCTTCAGGTTACTTTCCACTTTGTGCAACCATCTGAGCCACTGCTTTTCAGGTGCTTGAAAGTGCTGGTACAGTCCGTACTGTTATGAGAACATCGTTTGCATATGCTAAATGCTGTGTCATGCGATTATAATTTGTACTTCTGCTATTCATTTTTATTTTTCTTATGGCTGTTTCCAATACCAGGTTAAAAATCACTGTAGATAATGGATCTCCCTGTCTAAGACCTCTTCCAAATTTGAATTTTCGTGATTCTACCATTGAAAAGCACTCTACTGGATGTATCTGGCAGTATCTTCCTGACCAGCCTAATTAATTTCTTTGGAGTTCCTTGTCTCTCCAGTCGCTCGTACATTTTTTCTCTTTTTACTGAATCATATGCTTGTCTGAAGTCCAGAAACAAATGATGTAATGTAATATCGTACTCATAGACTTTCTCAAAAATTTGTCTTTCTGATAAGATCTGGTCTGTAGTTGACCTACTTGGTCTTAATCCACACTGGTATTCACTCAGAACCGCTTCTGCCCATTTCATTAGTCTTCTGCTGATTGCGATTGCTAATATTTTGTATACAGTATTTACCAATGAAATTCCTTTGTAATTTCTGCACTCTATCCTATTTCCTTTTTTATATATTGGACATATTAGAGATTCAGACCATGCTTCATGCATTTTCTCTAATCTCCATACATCAAAAATGACATTGTAAATATTTTTCCATACTTCTTCTCCTGCATTTTTAATCATTTCATTTTGGATTTCGTCCAGGCCTGGTGCTTTGTTTTTTTTGAGCTGGTGGATGATTTCATTAATCTCTTCCATATTTGGAGAAATATCTATCTCATCGAAGTTTTCCACTTCATCTAGTGTATTGTTTATCAGTGTTCACTCAGCCAGCTGCTCCACCTCTTGGCCATCATCCAAGATCTCTCAAAAATGATCGGCCCATCTCTCTAATATCTCTGTGTCGTCACCTAGGAGGTTGCCGTTCTTGTCTTTGATGAAAATTTCTCTTGCACGAAAACCTGCTCTTATGTTCTTAATGTTCCTAAAGAATTTTCGGCTATCATTTTCTTTGAAATACTCTTCTGTTTTCTCCAGTCTTTCTATCTCTAGTAGCCTTTTCTTTTTTTCAGAATAGTTTCTTTGCCAATTTTCGTTTTTCTCAATACAAATCTATTGCTTGTCTTGTTGTTCTGTGCAGATTTCTCATCTGAGCTTCATTTTTCTACTTTATCGCTACCTTGCATTCATAATCAAACCAATATTTACTGTTTTTCTTGGTTCTTCTTCCCAGCACTTCCTCTGCAGCTCCTTTCAAGATACTTTTTACCTTTCTCCAATTATCTTCCGTTGTTGCCTTATATTGACTGAGAGCCTTACCTACATTTCTTTGTTCATCCAATATTTCCTGGTACCTCTTCCTTACGCCTTCTATTTTTAGTTGTTCTGCAGCATAGATTGATCTCTTTTCAACATTTTGTCGAGGTTTTCCAGCCAACCTCTGCCTATACTTGGCCAATACCAAGTAGTGGTTACTATTGCTACATGCTCCTCTGTAGCTTCGCACATCTAAGATGTGTGATGTGTGTCTTGTATCTACCAGTATACGGTCTATCTGATTTTCAGATGTTTGATCAGGAGACCTCCAAGTAGCTTAAGTGCTAGTTTGTGTGGCTAGCCTATCAGCCTCTTCATTACTTGGGATGTCTGAGTGACCAGGCACCCACTCAACGACAACTTTGTTATGCTCAACAAAGTTGTTGAGTACTGCACTGCATTCTTTAACAACCCATGAAAAAGAATATTGACTATTTAAAGCACCTATTGCAGCTTGACTATCAGTATAAACTATAATTTTTTTGCCGATCACTTGTTCATGGAATAGATTTTGAGCACAATGAAAAATTACCAGTAGTTCTGATTCAAATACTGAGACATATTTGCCAAGGGAAATTGAGAGTCTATTCTTATTATCCTTTTGGTAGATTTCTGATCCCGAGCCATTAGCTGTGAGAGAGCCATCTGTATAACAGTTAATACCAATTTTTGGTTTATGTACTCTCCTAGTATAAGAGAATTAGTTGTTGACATCATTACCGTATTTGGTGTCTAAATATTCTACTATTTGTATGTCTGAGTGCATGGTTACCACTTTGCCATAACCCATCCTTTGTAGCAGTTTAGTATGTCCCTCCTGAACATTTATATTAGAACAGATATTTATATTTTTTAGCCTATACAGTGTTCTTAGGGCTTGAGCTTCAACCTCTAGCTGCAGTGGTGGCATTCCCAGCATCACCTCCATAGTGGCCATTATCATTAAACAGACTAGTCTTTTTAAATAACCTAGCAAGTTTTTGTTGACTTCAGTATTTGCCTTATACCACCATAGCAAAGCTGAGTAATTTACAATGAGTCTGATAGTAATAATGTATAACCAGTACACCATGTTAGGTTTGAGTCCCCAATTCCTGTCTATTACTCTTTTGCAGACCAATAGGCATTTGAGGGCTCTACTGGTCATATATTGGGCATGCCTTGGCCATGTTAGTTTATGGTCCAATATGATTCCTAGATGTTTTACCTCCTTACCTTATTTCTATACTATATATGACCTTTTTTCTTCTTAGTGACCTTTTGTGGGTTCATGTTAAGCCTGTTGGAGCAGCACCAACCCTTCAAAATGTCCGTGGCCATTTTTAAGAGGTCAGAGAGTACACTCTGATATTTTCTTCCAATTAGCAAAGCAATATAATCAGCATGTCCTTGAGCATAGAATCCAGCAGTGTTCCACGCTTCCAGTAGGGAGTCAGCCACTATACACCACAGTAATGGAGAGAGCACACCTCCTTGCGGGCAACTGCCACTGGGTCTAATCCACAGTTAAGTGTGCCCTAGTTCCGTTCTAAGAACCCTGTCCTCCAGCATTCTCATGATCCATCTGGAGGACATAGGATCCACGTATCTATATTCCTCAGTGCAGTATTAATAATGTCATAAGAGATCCTACTGAAGTCACCTTCAAGTCCACAAAGATATCTGCCATAATCTCTCATTGTTCTGAGAATTTTTCCAGTCTTGAGGCTAAGTGATGAAGTGCTACCTCATAGGATTTCCCTGGTTGGTAGGCAGATTGTATAGAGTGTATTGGACTAGTGTCCAATGAATGTTCTCTTTTGAGCATGTAGAGTATCTTTTCCACCGTCTTCATTACAAAAGATGACAGCATATTGGTCTAAACACCTTGGGATCTTCATAAGATCCCTTTCCTGGTTTTGGAATGTAGCACACATTTGATGCCCTCCATTTTATGAGTAGGTAACTCAGCGCTAAGCTACCTCTTAGTAATTCTAAGAGATATGGTCTTTACCGATTAGTCTTTCTGCAGCATAGCCAGAAAGATCCCATCAGTACCAGCCAACTTGAACGGGGAGAAGGAGTTCACCACCCATTCAAGTTTTCTGCTGGTTACAACTCTTTTTGTACAGTCTCACATACGTGACACAGCTCCACAATCCTGCGCTGTGGGATCTAGAGGTTCTGTCTCATTCATGGTATATTGATCATCTATCTCAGCATCCCTAAAATTCTCTGACTAGCCTGTTTTGACTGTATTTTGCTTACCCGACATACAGTTGGAATGCCCTCTTTTGGCTCTCCTGACAGATTTATGATACTATGTAAGATCTCTCCTATAGGTATCCCAATTGCCAGAAGTTTTGGCAGCATTGAACAATCTCATGAGTGTTCGTTGTTTAGCCAGATTGCTATTCCACCAGGAAACCTTCCTGTTAGTTATAGTTCTTTTGGCATCATTACTATTCAGATATGACTTAATCACAGCCTCAGTTAATGCTTTATTTAAACATTATAATTGCCATGAATTGTGGATAACTTTAGGACAGCAGCTGGTAGCTGCCTCCAAGTTTGTACAGATAGAGTCCCAGTTTGTACATCTGGGATCCCTAAATTCGACATCATGTTGTTTGCTGTAACACA